AATTTCAATGTTGCAGCAGCAGCGCGTTCACCGCTTGTCTCAGAGGTCCAGGGTTCGAATCCAGTGACTGCCCTGATTAATACTCCGTTTGTCTTAAGCATTAAAATACGTGCCGTCTGCTTCACAGTGGACGTTAAGATCCCGTTGCGTCATTCGCAAGCGTCGTTTATTGTATGTTGGCGTCACGGTCAAAATTTGCCAGTTTGGAATACAATACTGTATCTCCCATCAATTAATCAATTAGGATTACGTACACAGTAAGTATCGCCCCTGCTGACAGATCACAGAACTTGGCAATTGTTGCTCGTGCCCGTGCAGGCTTCCTTCCACGCATGGCCTGAGGTTTCCCGAATTGCGAAAATTGGACGCATTACCAACTGTGCAGCGTTTTGAGATGAAATTTGCACGAAGGACGGGTGCTAAATAAACTAACAAAAATAACATTACACTACCATCAGCAGCATCCCTCTAATAACCACCACCGCTCGCCGGGTTTGGTGAAGGTGGCAAGTAGTACAGTACAATTACATCAATGGATTTTGGTGCACTGCCCTCTGCTGCACACATTGCGCCACCGCAGCAGCCTATAGCAACCTGTTTTATGTATATGGTGAAATTGCTGCGTGGACAGGAGTGCACAATTAAAGAACATAACTGTAGCCTTAAACATATTGAAGGCGATATTTTGGGCAATGACCCTACTTCACAAAACTTAGCCATACCCCTCCAATAATTATCCAGGCTCAAACCTGCTTAGCTCCCAAGTTTTGACGGATTCTTCTGTGTTTTCCCATAGGTTAGAAACAAACCCAATACAGAATTAAAGCTTTCGTGACTGCATAAAATTACTCATTGTTTTTTTCGGTAAAGTCACGTATGTAGAAATACAATAAAATATAATTATAAAATTATATAATTATAAAATTATATTTTTGTTTCAATATAATTTTATTGTATTTCTACATACGTGACTTTACCGAAAAAAACAATGAGTAAACCCAATACATTGTAATGTGCATTGGCCAAACATCCCATTGCTGATAAATTACTGTTAATATTTTAATTAGCAACGTCACCCCTGACTGATAAAAGTTGGCAAGAACGTCCTGAATAAGTTGGGTTATTTGCTGAAAGGTACACCAAAGGTATCTTCAGAATGAAATTAAATGAGGCATTATGTATCACTCTCCATTGTGCTGAATTGGGAAGTATTTAATGAGCAGAATGGAAGCTGACAAGCTGTCAGGGCAAAAATTATTTTGCCTATTCCAAATAATATTTTTTGCCCTGGTTTGTGTCTGACCATGCTGGGCACGGCTTTGTTAAAGTGTACGATATTCAATGGGGTAAAAGTCCCCTAATGGTAACACAACTTTATACCACAGGTGTACTCACACTGGAGCAGCGTCGACATTTATGAGAAAGCGTTACACATGAGTACCATGTGCGGTTCTTTACCGACATTCCCATCCCTGCACCTGCCTCCCCTGTCCCTAATGCAATGAACCCTCTACCCCCACATTACCTATGCAGAGCTCGTGGAGAGAATGAATGAGGAGGAGGGAGCGGAGGGGCATGAGGCTCAGCCTTCAACGGTGCCGCAAGACTTTTCGACGTCATCATTTCAATCTACCCTGGCCCAGGTACGATGCGGCACAACGTGGATTTGCACTGCCTATAAATTAGCTTGGCTAATGTCAAAGATGGGAGATTCCTGGTATTTACAGATTTAGTTGTTGTTTGCATTCGCCAACTAATGGGCCCCAAAGTGTAGACATGGCTGCTCCTCATTTATAGATTTGCAGCCTTTGCAGCAGTGCGTTTTGGTGACTATACTGTGCTGATGAGTCCGAATGAGGATTACACCGGTCCACAGTTGCATATCACTGCATAACTGCTGCTGTTAGTCTGTCACATTTGCTCAACTTTATTTTGATGGTGGTTTAAGATAGCATTACCACAATGCACTTTAGAAAATACTGATGTTTTTTGTATAATGCACAGGGGCTAGATGCTTTGTGTACACATTTCTCCAGGTCTCTGGTTTCCTCCCATAGCTAAATGACACAGTGTAACTGGTATTGGCCAAACGTACCAATGCTGAAAAAATACATGCAAATTATTCAATTGGAATTAAACTAAGCAACTTCGTTCTCGACTGCAAAAAAACAGAACTTGGTAGGACCCTCCTTGAAAATAAAAATGTAAACTCATTGAGGTTTTCCTGGGTAAACAAGTACATCATCATAGCAATAAACAACTTGCATACAAATAGCAGATTAACTTATGTCCTGATACATGTATCATGAGCTTATGAATAAATATACATTTCATGCATAAGCTATTACATCTCTCATATTCGTGTGTGTGCTTGCCTTTGCGTGTAGGACACTGTCTACTTTTGCGATGGAGTCCGTCGGATCGATTTCATCCTCGCGTTCGATGATGAGGTCCATTCTCAGGACGCCATCAACAATCAGGTGAGAACGAGGAACCTACAAATAATGCTCCACCTTCCTGCACCCAGCATTATCACCCCTCCCCACGTGCAACACCACACGCCTCTAAACCTAGGTTTGACGCAGTGGTGCCAGCTCAGCTCTCTGACTGCTGAATCACCCTGCCACCTCCATACGAGTCTTTAAATCCACAGTATACATCCTTTATCAAACTGTATCGTCAACTGCAGACCACGCTAGTCAATGAACGCTAGACTCCCATCACTCAACTCGCACATCCATACCCTGAACCATACGCCTCACTGCTTTGGCGAACAACAATCAATTATCGTTACGTATCACACTCCATCCACAACTCCTCAATAAATACACCACTTTCATATTGCACACACCGACACCCAGACACAACTTACAGGATATATGTAATATCCACATTCTAACTGCCAAATGGAAAACTATTACAACAGTGCAGGCTCCATCCTGCTTAATTTCTGAGCTCCGATCAATGTTATTGTGATTTTGCCTTAAAGCAGCGCTGTTAAGACCTTTGTGAGGCCTCGATGGAGGAGTGCTGGTTCACTGGTTAGCGCACTGCACTATGAACTCTGTAATGTAGCTTAATTCAGTTCAAGGCTAAGCAGTGGCATGACATATCTTACTCCTATTAAACATCCCATTTGTTAAAACTTTATTTGGTATAATTATTTCTGCATTGCTGCTCAACGTTTCTGAAATACCATTGCCAGTCATCTGCAGCTGGGTTCCCTCTCTTCACCCAATTTGTGTCCCTATTCAACAAAAACACTGAGCTTAGCTGTACCTTTACCTAATATTTTCTGCCACTTCTTGCTCATATTGTTTGAACTTTTTTCAGATTCACGTGTGTTTAGTTTGTGACCATTAATGCCTTTCTTAGTTGTGCAATATTCCTGAAGTACCCAGTACGCATTCTCTGCAATATTGATGTTTTGGTGTTTATTTTGTTACTACTGTACCCACGCACAATGGAGCTATCGCCCTTGTAAAATAGCAAAGCAACTAGCTAAGTGAGACCATCCCTGTAACAAATAAGGTGAACTCAAACAGTTGATTGACAAAGAGCTGTGCAAATTTTTATTTTATTAAGGTCTGCTGAAGTGACACCGACTGAAGCAGTTCAGTGATGCTACTTTGCAGAGCCGTTCTCTGATTGATTCCCATGTGAGGCTCTACTCACTGTAAGAGTTCAAGAAGTTTCCTCACCTCTTGACTTGACTCCCACAGTGACACAACTGAGAACAATGTATAACACAGATGGTCAATTTTGTTTGACAGAAGAAGAGGACCGAATATCAGGCAAGCCTGATGAAGATGGGGCTAGATCTCGAGATTGAACCCAAGGAGGTAAGTTTCCTGCGTGTCTCTCTGCTATAGATGACAGACACTGTATACAAATAAAAAGGTGTTAGACTGTGATTGCTTCATAATATCACTGCTGGCATACATTCCTTGATTAGGAGCGCTAAAGATCCCCGCTGGAGGGTATATGGCCTACTCTTCTATGCTTGCCAGACGTCTTGAAAGAGATAGCGAATACCCATACTTTACCCCACCATGCACAATCTTAAGATGGATTAATTGTGGCTTACCCATTTATACTGGAGGGTATAACAGTCTCCACCTTAATGTGGCATGCCAGCTATTTATACTGTAGTAATAAGTGTTCGATAACTGCACGTACATTATGCAATTTGCTTTTGGGTTGTGCCACACGTTGATCGGCACGAGGTGCTAACAACACGTGACACAAGCACGAAAATCCACGCGGCCGTGGACACTCTTCCAAATGAGACCATCCTGTTCCCTTGAACTCTCACCTGGTCAAACAAAGTCTAATAAATACAACTAAATGCACTCATCTAGAGTCTGACGATGAACTTCGTGCCATCCACTAGGAGTCGGTGAGCGGACGCACCACCTTTGTGAAAGTACACGCGCCATGGAACCCACTCACCACCTATGCCGAGATTCTACACATCCAGGCAAGATTCTGATGGTCATTGTAATGATGATCAAGATGATGCCGATGATTGTGATGATGATTGTGGTGATGATTGTGATTATGATGGTGATAATGAATGTGATGACAATAATGTTTGTGAAGATTCATCATGGTTGTGATGATAATTGCGATGATCATGCATGTGATACAGAGTATGATGTTGAGGGTGATGATTGTGATGATTATAATTTATGACGTTCAACGATAATAATCGTAGCACTGACATTACGAGATATCGAGAGACGTAAATATACAAACGGATTAGAAAAACGTACATTTGGAAAAATATGCATATTAGCAACATATTGACTCTTTTTAGAAAAGTGAATGGGCTCGGGAAGGGCACGTTGCTTGAAGGGATGATGTCTGCTGGCCGAAAATGACATTGGAGTGGCAGCAGAAGGAGAGAACGTGCCCAAGATGATGTATATCATAGAGATGGCGAGATAAGATTGGCTCATGTGCGTGTGCTCATGACTGGGGATATTGGTGGGACAACTTGAAGAGTGGGTGGGATATGCAGTGGAGGCTTTTGGCATATTAATTGTTGCATTATAGGACTTGTTGTATTATAGGACTTGTTGTATTATAGGACTTGTATTATAGGACTTGTATAGAATGTTGTATTATAGGACTTGTTGTATTATAGGACTTGTTGTATTATAGGACTTGTTGTATTATAGGACTTGTTGTATTATAGGACTTGTTGTATTATAGGACTTGTTGTATTATAGGACTTGTTGTATTATAGGACTTGTATTATTATAGGACTTGTTGTATTATAGGACTTGTTGTATTATAGGACTTGTTGTATTATAGGACTTGTATTATTATAGGACTTGTTATATTATAGGACTTGTATAGAATGTTGTATTATAGGACTTGTTGTATTATAGGACTTGTTGTATTATAGGACTTGTTGTATTATAGGACTTGTATTATAGGACTTGTTGTATTATAGGACTTGTTGTATTATTGGACTTGTATTATAGGACTTGTTGTATTATAGGACTTGTTGTATTATAGGACTTGTTGTATTATAGGACTTGTATAGAACGTTGTATTATAGGACTTGTTGTATTATAGGATTTGTTGTATTATAGGACTTGTTGTATTAAAGGACTTGTATTATAGGAGTGGTGTATTATAGGACTTGTATAGATTGCAACAACTTGGGGAGACCTTCATCCATTCGTGGACTGATTTTGGCTGATGATGATTCCATGTGCTCGAGGCAAAGGGTTTAATACATTTAAAATCAAACAGGTGCCACTCAAGGAGAGCGACCTCCCCCAGGTGTCAGGCTCAGACAGTGGGCCTCTTCACTACCTGGGAAATATTCACCACCTGAAGCCGGGAGCCGTGCCCAAACAACCGGACTATTTCACGGCACCCTACCGGCGTTCGCAGCAGGACATCTATCCTATAAAGGATCATGACGTCCTCATCCCACCGGCCGTACGCAGCCAAATCGTACGTTTGTATCAATAATGCTGTATAAATAATGCTAGAATGGGGTGGTTTTTTTTGCAAAAACATGTTAATTTAATAGGGTTTTGTCGTGTTTTTATCATTTTAATTAAAGTTTTCAGCTCTGTATCGCAACTTGCGATCTCTGAGTGACATGTGGTTAGAAGTGTAAATCATTATGGTTTATTAAGAATGCCTGGATTTATGATTTAGGGGTTGTGGTAATATGTGTCCCTGTAGAGAAAGCTACCAAATTTTTGGGATGCTTAACCAGGAGACATGGTGAGCTAGCAGCCCCACCCTTTGTAAGTCCTGCCCACATTATATAACCACGTCCCCTCAATCACTCTCCCCTGCACAACAAAAGAATGAAAGACTACTGTTGATATGGTTCTTGGTGAGCAGGTATCCTGTCGAGCCAATATTGTGGGCATTTGGGGTTTTGATAGTATTGTATTCTGAATAAATTGCCTTTGTGCATGGGAAGCATGCATAAAATGTCTCCTTGAAATCTGGATATTGTACTTGCTGAAATCGGTACATATCTGCTTCAGTTTTTGGGGTGTTCTATGGACCTTTCCGAGTCGGGACTCAATAAGAGTTGTGGGCCCATTATAACTGTGTAGGCTGGTGGTGGTTGGAGAGGGGGAAACATTTCAGAGTGGAGTGAGTCAATAATAGCTTACCCACCCAGCCCTATGTTTCATGCATGTTATGTTTGTCATGTGTGTCATGTGTGCTCACACAGGTCCACTACATGCTGCAAAACCCCATGCCACAAGACAGCACGAACATATTAAATATCAACCAAATGATTGAAAATGGCTGCTATACTGCAGCCTATCCACTGCATGACGTAAGTTGTTGGGGGGGTAGGGGGTGGAGGGCACACTGACACCCTACGGGAGGCCCATGTACGACACCTGAATTGCACACCTGTATAGGACGCTATAGCATAGTCTAAAGCTTACCACATACTTAACATTAGTGTCCCACAGAGATGCGCCGCATAGGTGTCCAGGTTCCCCAGCTCACTAAACACACCTCTGATTTGCATGGTTGGCTACATACGGTGCAAAAGAAGTTCAATATCCATGCATTGGAAAGGACTCCACGAGCACTCTAGAGAGCCATTCTCAAGGGTATTTGGTCGACTATTTCACGTGGGACAGAAGTCTTTGGAAGAATTAGAAGTACCCACACTTCATCCCACAACACGTGAACAACCAATAGATTAACTGTGGGTGCACCCATTTACACTGCTTGCTGGGAAGAAGCAGCGTGATTAAGAAACGTGGTCATTGTTTTAACTGTCGTTCCCATGAAATCAAATGGGCGACCTCTAACTTTGCAAGTCCAGTGCAGTGTGCAACACCATTACACCACAGCAGCGCCACGGCAGAGTTTTGGGGGGGTGGAGCTGGTAATTTGTGAATGTCCATGCAGTGTTTGTGACTAACAATTGCTTTCCCCATGTCAGAGTGAGTCTGTTCATCCCACCAAAAACCCGAACACGCTGGGCGACCGCAACACGCTGCGACGGGAGTGGGCGAGAGCCGGGCGCTCTTTCAAGGAGCAGCCTCTTGACCTTGTGCGGTAAGTTCATGCCCTATCCACTGCTGGATGAAGACTTCCCCAAGCCTTCGCCATCTCTCCCAGTCTCCTGATGCAACGATCCATGTGGCTCCTGCACACATGCTGATTTCATTACTTAAATCTCTGTGGTGCACATCCTCTCAGACGCATTCCTTCTCTTGACTGCCACATCATTCTTAGTCTCGACCACAGGCCATCGTACCTCTTAGGGACTTGCCCTGTCCAGAAAGGTCCTAAGGCTGGACTTGAATGCTAGCTGGGAGTTGATAGCACAGACGGCTGGGGAAATGGAGTTCCAGAATAGCATTTGCCCATGCCTTCCCTGCTCTTCACATTTCCCTCCAGCCCATGGTCCTTGCTTACATATTCGATAGCTACACCACTGGTGCCATGTGCGGTTGGTGATGTTTGCGCTGTGTGTGCGAGTGATGTTGTCGGCACAGGTCATACTTCGGGGAGCAAGTGGGGCTCTATTTTGCATGGCTCGGCTTCTACACAAAGATGCTGATCTTCGCTGCAATCGTCGGCCTGATCTCCTTTTTCTTTGGAGTATTCAGCAATGACCGTGACATCACTAGGTACTGGCCCGACACATGCATACAGACAAATGCATACAAACACACACATACACTCATGTGTCAGATGTAGAACTCACACAGATCTCCTGTATAGCAATACAGACTGAAGAATGAGTATCAGCAAGCACCTACTAAGGCTATACACAAGTACATATACACGTAAAGTACATATAGACATACATATACACTTATATACAATCCCATGGGATGCTGCCATGGTGTAATAGTTACATTTCTAGAATTGCAGTTTATAGATTTCCAGTGCGATCACCTGGCATGGCAGGCTGAAATAATGGCTAGGTTTCTTCAATTATCCCACATACGCTCAGCAGTATAAACGGAGACACCGCAGTTAGATGATTGGCAGTTCAGATGTGATGGGGTAAAATGTGGGTACTCCCACCGTGTCCAAGACGTCTGGCCATCATGGACGAGTAGGCCAAATATCATCTCGAGGGGCAATCTAGAGCATTCTTTAGTGGAGGACCTTCCACCAGCAGTGGCATGAGCAAGCAATTTCAGGGCCACATCTTTAACATTTCACTATTAAAGTACATATGCACATATATACAATCTCATACAGTTTATATACATATACAGTACAAATATAGTACATTCAATATATTGTATATGTATATATGTTCCAAATGTCTCTGTTTCTAAAAGTAAATCCAAAAAATCAAGCCTAGCTACAATATTTCGGACAATCCAGGGAAAATTAAACATTGTTTTGGATTGCTCAGAAAACATGACATCGCCCATTGTGACGTCACTCACGACGACACGTATCACGTGGCATCGGGTTTCGTCACTCTTGTTCACATGAATATATTGTACATTCTTACGAATTGTAAATAATCCGAAAATCAAAAGCAAAAAATATTCAAATCCAAAATGTTTAAATGTGAAACGTATCCTTATAATACGACTTACACACATAGACTCTGTGGAGCTGCATGACGGACAGCGGGGAGCAAGTGCAGGAAATACATTGCTGTACTCTGTGTCTGGAGTCTTCGCTTCCCATATTACAACCCGTACTGACCAGTGTGGGATGACTAGAATTAAATAGCCCTCATGACCCACGAGGTGTGGGGAGGCTCTCAGCCAGAAGTGGATTGATAAAAGGGCTGTAAACACCCCTGGAAATCAATACATAGAGATGTTACACCACTGATATCAACGAAAATTATAATTAAACATCAGGAAATACATTTTACTTTGGAAAATGCTCGACGTTGGAACCCATAATTTAGTCTGACTTTGTTTAAAGGGAGGGTATGACACATTCAAAGGTGGCATGACCTTTAGGCAAATTATATTTCTCATCCAAGTGTATTATGCCCATTAGTGTGTTTATGTTCGTGCGTGTCTATGTGTGCAGTGGAGAAATATGCAACAACACCATCGGAGGATCCCTGGTCATGTGTCCCCAGTGTGACCAAAAATGCACCTTTTGGAGGCTAAATGATACCTGCGAGACTGCGAAGGTATCACACAAATACACCATCGATGTTCCCTCTAAATAAGGATACTTATTAGTTATTGGTGCTGTGCATCATTATCACAAAGCCAACTCACGTTGCTGAGATTGTATCATTAACATTAACCATGATCACTAGATTGCAGCACATCATGCTAAACACTATGCTGCCATTCGTGTGGGTGTTAAAAAAATATTATACTAATAATACACGTGTGATCATTTTGAAGGTAGTTAGTTATAGTTTTAGCAAATAGGGTATTTTAATGGACTAAGTCGATCGTTAGACAAATACATGAAAATGAATGCATCGTCACATCCCAGCGGGAGTGCAAAAGTTACTTTGAGTAAATCCGACACGATGTATTTCATGAGTATTTCTCCACGATCAATACAAGTGGACAAAGTATTTTGAAATCTGAATTTCAGTGCTAATTAGTTGACATGTCATGCCGAAATAATGATTATTCACTTTAAAGTGTCTGAAATGTATGTCCACAATCATGGAACTGCCCATTGCTTATTTTGCTCTTTCTGTCACATTTATACAGATTTGTTTGATACATGAATAGCGCTATAATATCAGACATTGTAGAGCATTGTCATCTCCACAATTTAATGGATGTTTCATGAGTGATTAATCTATTTTAACTTAAAAATCAATCGATGCATCGTTACTTTCCTGCTGTTGATATTGAAAAGACGTGGATGCTAAGATTTAAGGTTTAATTGTGACTAACACCTCTGATTGTGCCGTTGCAGACTTCACACATGTATGAAAATCCGGTCACCATATTCTTCGCAGTTTTCATGGGACTTTGGGGTAAGTGATTCTAAGCATTGGCACACATTGTCCAGACACAGTGACAAGTATCAACATGTTTGCAATGATGATGAGCACATTTGGCCACATACAGTGTTAAAGAAGTTCAACATACATACGTACAACCATATACAGTACCATCATGTCTTGCAATGTTCGTATGCAGTGATCCTGACAGTCCTATTATGAACCCACTGCTCAATGAGGGCACATTTGGACCATGACTTGTACACATTGTCCTACTCTTACGAATGATAACCGATAATCTTTAATGTCCACTGTGAAGCAGATGGTGTGTATTTTTGTGTAATTAATACACCGGCAATATTAATCAGGGCAGCCACATAATTTGAACCACGAACCTCTGCAACAAGCAACGAATGCGCTACCCCAAGGCGATTCCATGAAAAATACAAAGTGGCCAGGTGGCTCAGAGTTCAGAGTGCTGCGTTGCCGCCGCTGAGATTCTGTGTTGAAATGAAAGTGGCCACCTGCGATTAAACAAGTTTTTCAATTATAGCGAGATGATGGTCTCAACTCAATCACCGATATCTGCACAACAAATACAAAAAATCCATAATGTTGAAGTTGCTTCTGTACTTAATTTGGCTACATTCCAGCTCTGAGAATAAAAATGTTAGCTTGACTATCACGTAACAAACGCTCCTCTCCGTGGCAAAGCAGTTGGGAAAGAGCTACCCCTACTATGTGGATCAGAGATCACAGAGGTAGCTCTGTGACATTCGCTTTTGTGTAACGTTTTGTAACACGAAGAGCAGCACTGCTCTGTTATAGATCCAAAAGAAATCTCAATCTCATGCCATGCCACTCAGTGCAAGTGGGATAAAATTGTGGCAATGTACCAAAAAAAGCCAATAAAGGTATTTATGAAAGAAAAAGAAAGTACTAATGAAGTTACTTTGAACATTACATTTAACAGACTACATTAGGTAACTTTTGAACCCTTGAGCAATCGATAGTCAAATTACTTTTCAAAGTAAATCCTCCCCGTGTGGTGTGTCGCAACAGCCACGGTGTTCCTGGAATTTTGGAAGCGTCGCCAGGCATCGCTCGCGTACCGCTGGGACCTGACGGCAGCGGCGGAGGAAGGAGACCCCATCCGGCCCGAGTACCTGGCTCGCTGCACGACCACGAAATGTAACATCATCACCATGGTAATGCTTTTTGCTGTCACCACGGCGACTACCTCATTGCACACACACACCTCTGTTTTGTAATGTTGCATGTGTAACTGTTCACTGTTTTCCTAGTTTTTCTTCTAACATATTTGTTGGCCTTTGGTCAATTGTGTTTTCCTCCCAATATTATCCCGATTGTCCTATCGGCATCGTTATGAAACAATGTCCATTTGGAACTCTATGTTATGGAAAGGTTTGCTGAAGCAGATGTTACATAATTACTTATAAGATCCCTTCAAGTGAACACACACTAGAGGGTGGCCCTTTCGCATCAGCCCTGCTACAAAGAAATGTTCATGATGGTCAAACTAATCTTTTTTTATTCTGAAAGGTGAAATTTGTCCAAATTAAGAAAAGAAACAAATGTAATATTGGTGACCAGGCTGATCGGCTTACTACTTGGTTTAATTGGAGGCAGCTGCCTGGATTCAAGCCAATGAATCTCAGCGCTGCCAGCTCAACTCTCAGACATCAGAACCATCAAATCCATTCCTTTATATCATCGCATGCTTAACTAGTAGTGGGGAAAACAAATAATGGTTCATCAGTCAACCTTAACGGCTCACACTAACATTGGTCACTCCTACAGACTAATCTATATACAAATGCTTTTCCGTCTATGTCCGTGCATTGTGAGTGCAGGAGGAGGAGCCTCATATGCCTAAGAGGATACTGAGGTTCCGTTACTGCCTCTCTGGGATCATGGTGTTGTTCTGGGTGAGTCCGCCAACTCAACAGCAACATTGAACCCCTTCTCCTGATCCAGTGAGCTATGGCCAAGTCACCTGCTATGTGCCTCATCTTGGAGGCGAAGCAGGTTTTGAGCCTGGGTACTGCACGAATCGGTAACCATCATGCACAAAATGGACTGTAGGCTGCTGCAGAGCTACCTTGTGGCCAACAGAGAACTGCATTCTTATGCTTCCATCCTTTACCAACCTGTACTGGTGTGCATGGTGAAGTATGGGAAAATAACCCTGACAATCTGCGCAGGTTTGGGGAGGCCATCATCCAGCAGTGGATTCATATACGGGTTATACACATATATATATTTTTACTTGACCCAATCCCAACCTCCACACGCTGCTCCCCCAGTCAGAATCGCTCTCAAACTATGTTGTTCCTCCTGTGTGATCCATTGAGTGATTACAAGTGGGGGTATAGATACATGCATAATCATATAACTTACAGCCCTTTGTCAATCCAATCACCTGAAATATCTACATGCTGCCCCAAGGCAATGAATACCTCATGAGCCATATCATGTTATCCACCTGCTCCTGTCAACCTCGATTTGGGTTTCTCGAGACTAGTCCTCGGCCTTAAGGCCAGATGGAAAAGATTTCCTCAGCTCCTTGGCCTTGAGTGTGTGGCCTCAGTCCGAGGAGTTTTACTAGAGGTACCGACCTTGACACTGGCCTCATACTAGCGCACCCAACCTTGAGTGACCTTGACACTGATTGTGGCCTAAAAAGCTGCCGCCTTGGCCTCACCTTGGCCCTGTGGCTTTTGGTCTCAACTTCACATCTGAACGTGGCTCGAGGTCAAGCAGGGCCAGGGATAGTAATTCCTTTCATAACCTTGCATCATTTTCTACAATTGACCACGTGACGTTACCATTACACGTTCATTGTGTGTGATGTTAGCGAAACAGCTCAGGTTTTGTTTAACATGTAGGCTTTTCGCGACCAATATCATCCATAATATTTTTTTTGGATTAGATCGCGTAAATATGTGTCATTAAACCCACCACCACCCGACAAAGCCAATTAGTAAAGTTGTTCACGTAAACAGAACATGCCAATTCGTTACTAGTACAGCAAATTCACAATATCTACAATCTGAGTACGACGTTTTGCCAGTCATTTGGTTCTGCATGTAGACAAACGAACTGGCACCTCCTGAGCCACACCAGGCTAGCTCGGCACAGCTAACTCACGGCTTGGTTATATAGTGGAAAAGAGCTACAAGACTGTAAATCTCACCCACCTCTGTGTTTCTTGTGTTACTGGCAGATCCTCCTGATTCTTGCTGCAATTTTGGGTGTGGTTGTTTACCGCCTGTCCATCTTTGGCATACTCTCCTCGAGTATCCCCAATCATGTGACCAAGATCAAGGTGATCGGTGCCCTACTCACACCTGATATGGTTACCACCATCACGGCCTCCATCCTCAACATCGTAATCATATTACTACTCAACAAAGGTTACGACAAGCTGGCCCTCGTCCTCACTGATCTGGGTAGGTGTCATCACCATCACGGTTTGCATATGTTTATTTTATTATACGCCACCAGAGAACACATGTAAATTTGAAGCTTGGATAAATGTTGTGCATGGTAAATAATGTCGCTGTAAAAATGTCATCATGATTTTAACCTTGCACCATGGGGCCATGAATAGCAGCATCAGTGCATCATCCAGTCACTTGTTCAACTACTGCCTGTTTTTGTCAGAACTCTCTTAAATTTTTCCTCCAGTTTCATTCCGATTGGGCTATCAGAATCGTGTCTTGAGATGAAGTATCCAATGGGATCTCTTGTAGACCAGTGCAACCCTTAATGTCATGAAATGGCCCTAGAAGTGAATATCACTGAGCTACCTCTGAGACCCTTCATTCAAGTGAACTCTGGTTCACACATTAGGGGGAAGCACTTTTCAATCCACACTACTACGGAATATAATGTTAATCTCGTAACAGTCAAATTGCTCATTCTCACAACTAGAATTTCACCAAATTAAGTGATGAACCAAATGGTGTATGTTACAAATGTATATGCCATCATTAGTAACCGTCCTGAAGCCATCAATTCACTGCACTTGAGAACACATGTTACCAGAGGCCGCTGCCTGGATTTAAACCCAGGATCTCAATGGTGCCAACTTAGCACTCTGATTTCACCTCTCGATCCATTGAATCACTGAATGTAATTGTGGGCTGACCCTCACTGCTGCATTGCTACCTTCTAGTCAGCTGTCAGCTATCTGCTTGTGTTGCTCATGTTGCCAGCTACTGAGCCCTTTATTAGTAATTTATCCTGCTGAAGCCTGCACCCCCTCTGAAAGGTGACCCATGATAATTACTAAGATACACCTTATAGATATTTGAGAATCAAGTGCACTGGCTTTCAGACATCATACGGACAGTGTAAATGGCTTAATTGCAAATGGAGACTGAAGGACACTCCACAGGGCGAATGTGGTGAACAACACCTGGTAAACAACTTGTGCACTGTCACTCATTCCCCAGCAACATCTTTGAAATTAACTTTTGATCTTCAAATTCATTTTAATGGATATCAAAGCACGTTACATTGTGAAATGTTGCTATTCCTCAATGCGGCATCATTATCAGTGGCTTCTCGTAGCCTGTGTGCCAGAAACTATGAAAGTAACATCAAAACTGATTGCCCTGTTTGATGTTTGTGTCCATGTGTGCCTTTGTATCACACCCACAGAGATGCCCAAGACGCAAGGAGAATATGAGTATCGGCTGACGTTCAAGAAATTCTTATTTCAGTTCGTCAACTTCTACTCGGCGTCTTTCTACATTGCATTTTTCAAGGGGAAATTCATCGGCTTCCCCGGAAGCTACACTTACTTTGGAAAATGGAGAATCGAGGAGGTGTGTAGATCTGAGGGGTTGGCCCTGTGTTTTCTATGCTGTTTGTACAACATTTTTATGTTTTACTTTTGTAGTTGATATTTTTCCCAACAATTGTCTTCACACCGTGCTGTTGGTGAAATGTCGAAATAAGGACTCTTTCTTTTGGAACTCTAAAAGGCCTCATTGTCTTCACACCTGGTCACCAGCTCTAGCATTAACACAGTCTCCGGAGTAAAACAGTTTTCGAAACCAGACTTGAGAGAGCACGAGGTCACCACGAGCAGAACACGTGTTAGACTGATGCAATTGGTAACCCAGTTACCTTGAGGGTGTTAGTTTATCACATATTTTGCAAGTAGTACCCTTGTGGTCTCTCATTGGACATTTTCAATTATATACCGTATTTATCAAACGCCATTTATTTAAAATTATATATTTGATCATCCTTAAAAATGTACAGTATTTCAGCCCCCCTCAAGGATATGTTTAGCCACTACCTATGACTCACTGTGGCGCAGTGGAGCACGTTGTGTTAGAGAACGGCCCCGTAATATGATATCAAGAACGAATTCTGGAGTAAGGAATTAAGCAGCATTGCGTTGTGCACACGTTAAATCAATGTCATTAAGACAGTGTTAATGACACGTAGTTTAACATTTACATAATTGCCATTCAGAGTCACCCTGAGTATTTGCAGTCACTCTATGCTCGGAAGAAAGTCCATTGCCCAAAATGTGCACCTGTTGCTCATGTTTCTGTTTGAAGGCAGACTTGTTGACACATGAGATGATTATAATGAGTATATTTGGTGTTATATTAAGGTGCCTACTTCTCCTGCTGCAGATTTGTAGAAATCGTCACGAGGGCGATTCATTGATTGATATCCTCTCAAAAACAATACACATAAAGGATAAAGAATACAGCTTATTATTTAAGTGCCTCTGTGTTTTCTACCAACTTAATTTCATGTTTTACGATTATTATATTTACTAGACGATGCTCTGCAATTAAACTCACCTGATACTAAACACCAACTGCAGTATGCATGTTGTGTGTTGAACTTATTTTGCACCGTACACAGCCTGCATCGGATGTGTGGGGGAAGGACAACAAACAAAACATTATCAGATGCGCCACCATTTTCTTTATTTAAAATACATGAGGGGGAGGGGGAAAGTGTTTCTTATAATCTGGAGAATATTGATATTCTTAATCACTGTCCCCTCTAACATATGGAGCCGTCACTTTTGCAGTGTGCAATTGACTGAAGAGAAGAATGTGAGAGGATCATTAGAAATGATGTGTGGTATCCATATATGTATTACCCAATATTTCATATCTTCAGTGTTTAACCTGAATCTATTCTCCACCCCATCCCCCCTCCAGTGTCCCCCAAACGGCTGTCTCTTTGAACTGACTTCTCAACTCACTGTCATCATGGTAGTGAAGCAGATGGTTGGCAATTTTCAGGAGGTCATCATCCCGTAAGTATCGCATGAACACATGATAAGCTGTGAAGTCTGATTACGGCGTTTCCTCGTGTAACGCGGTAGATGCGTTCCTGAAAATTTCCGCGTGAAGTAAAAACGCGCAAAGCAAGGAATTACTGAGTTAATCACATTTGCACAGTAAAATCAACCTGCAGTCATCCCATGGTGGGATAAATAACTCAGGCTAGGCTGCCGTGTTACTGTATCATTCGGCATGCTTTATCAAACTGCTCAGCCGCGCAACTCAAGACAGTCGTTCATCGTCGACTGCTCAGGAACGCATTATAATGGCCGCGTTCGGCGTTTTAACAGTGTGCATTCCACATTATAATGGACACGTTCCACGTTGTGTGAAAAGTTTTCCCAAATATAAGAACCATGTTACAATGAAAATGTGTTGTGTGAAAACGCATTCAGCGAAAAGTCGTGTCGACAGCTTGTTAGCAGTGTGCACTGGTTAAGCAGTGAACACCAGTCAACTGGACAAAGTTCACCTCGTTAGTATCATGCGATATTCCGATCAGACGCTTCGTACATAGTTTCATAATATTAGACAAGCAACTCCCATGACTGAAAGAGTGTAGTGGATTGACAACGGGCTAAATGAAAAACAGCTACTACTTAGGTTTTAGCAGTTGTTTTGTACAGCTCTCTGACATGTTTTGTGTCATACCGCATATTGTTTGGCATGTCTTGACGTTTCGCTCCACGTGCTTGGGATATTCACATGATACAACCTGAAAACGCAGTGGAAAGCTATGAAATAGCAAACCTAGAGTTGATGAACAAATGGATATGCACGTGTGTAAGGGTGTCTCTGTGTCTGCACATGCGTACCTCCCTCCACAATTCCCCAGATGGTTCAGCAATTGGTGGGCCCAGCGTCGGGCCAAGCTAAGGCCTGAGGCTGTCTACACGCGCTGGGAGCAAGACATGGACCTACAGCCCCAGAGCCCACTTGGACTCTTTGATGAATACCTCGAGATGGGTACAATGAGCTCAGAGGATCACACTACGGAGTCAACGCGTTTTACTTTATTATAAAAAAACACACACAATTGGGTATCATTTGACTATATAGGCACGTGTGTACGGCCCCTGTGTATCTGTCGGACATTGTTGTGGGAGGGAAATTACCCACACTTCGGGTTGTTGAAGGCAGGGAGCACAGATGTAAGAGCTTAGATGTACAATACAACAATGTAATTTGCTGCACTGTCCTCTGCTGCTCACAACCCCACAATAACTATTGCATGGTCACCCATCCAACCAATTTTCAGGCTCAGCTCTCCTTAACTTCTGGGATCTGATTAAATCTGACGCATACTGGGTGATTTGGCCATAGGCACCAATCTATGGATATACTGTAACACAATTGTCTTTGAGCATGCGCGTATGTGCATATGTACGGAGTTAAGTTTTAGAAACAATAGGAGCACATATTTGCTCCTCTTGTCTGCTAACCAATGCAGCTACATTGGTCAGCTTGGGTTGACGTTTCTCCCCCTTACTATTTATTTAAAACTCTTGTGCATCATGTCCACTGTGGTTAACTGCTGTGATTTGTTGGCATTTCAGCCACAGTGCATATGCCTAAAAATGTGTGGTACGGTTAATGGAGTCCTCAATACAGGATGTGATCTAGTTATTATAGCCACCTAGTGGTGGAAAATGGTGCGAAAGAAACCCAGGTGAACCAGAGCTGAGCATTAAAGATGGTAGTGGCTGGTCGCATCTCAGTGGCCAATGTAATGGACACGATAATTTTGTGAACAAATTATACGAAAATGTGATCATATTTTGGGGTCTCCTTTGACTAAAACACATTCAATGCATTGAAAACATGTTTTGTTTGCTTAAAGTAATCACAACATAACAGCATTAAGAGTGTATGTCTATATCCTGTTTCACTCATTATCCTATCCTTGCCCCCCTACCCATTCTCAAAATATACCCCAGTTATCCAATTCGGGTTTGTCACTCTCTTCGTGGCATCATTTCCACTTGCGCCATTGCTCGCACTGCTCAACAACATCATCGAAGTGCGGGTCGACGCGTGGAAGCTCGTAACAAAGATGAGGAGGCCTGTGGTTTCGCGAGCAAGAGGAATTGGAGCCTGGGCCGACATTCTGAGTATCGTTGCCACCCTCTCTGTAATCACCAATGTAAGTCGCCAGATTGTCCGCTCGCTTTCTCGCTCAATATCCCATCTTATGAGTGACATAACATGTCATGTTAGCCGTGTGGGTTCTTTTTACCATACTTCACCATTCTGGTCATGGCAGGTTTGAGAAGAGGTGTAGTGGGGGACCAGGAGCGGTTCGGGTATCACTCGTCACTGATGTTAGTCGTAGCTGGAAGTCAATTGCATGTGTGCTGAATTCAAAGTGCAGTGCACGAATCACTGCACCACCGCTCCTATCCACTCTCTCCCAAAATCGCAAAAGGTAAAGCCTTGCAATTGCTTGCTCATGTCACTGCTGGCAGAAGGGCCTCAACTAAAGGTAGCTCTAGAGAACCCCTCTACACGGTATTTGGCCTACTCTTCCATGATGACCAGACATGTTGTAAGATGTGGAATTACCTGTGCTAAAACAGTGATGAACCCATTTATATTGCTAATTGGACAGAGGTGGGGGAGATTTAAGAAAATGATCCATTGCTTCAACTGTTGTGTCAGGAGACTGAACTGACGACTGCCAGATTGCAAGTCCTTATATGGTAACCATTTCACTCTGGCAGCAACCCCCCAAATTGTATTTGTGAAAATTAATGTAATTGCCAAGGTAAGATGTTCAGAAGCCTTGGTCAAATCATTGCATGCTAAGTGACCGCTATCGCTGTGCCTCCGTATGCTAATTCCACAGTCATGCATCTTGGCGTTCACAACGGACATCATCCCACGCCTGGTGTATTATTATGGATACTCAGCAGAGTATGGCACAGGTTCGCCTACAATGCATGGGTACACGGAGGACAGCTTTTCAATTTTCAAGATCAGCGACTTCAAGGAGCAAAATTATCCCAACATCCTGCCAGCCTGGTTTGATCCGGCAATCCACACAACCTGCAGGTTTGTGCCATTCAGTGTCATGCCCAGCTATCGGGGGTGCCGTCCCTGCGAATGTGATGCACTGATGTCTGGGTGTGTTGTCCAGGTAGATGCGACATCCTTCTGGGTGTGGCGTCCTCCTGGCTCTGCCCCTTCCTGATTAGGCTCGTTCTCTTCCTCTTTTCACTCCGTGACTTTCCTTTTAAGACCCACACTTCCCCTAGGCCCCACCTCTGTTTAGGCCCTGCCCCTTACCGTGGACACAGGGTTTGGCTTAGTTGGGTAGTAAGGGGTTGTGGTAGGGTTGGGGGAAGAGTGTGCATGGTGGGTGGGGACAGTAAAGGGGGTGGGGGGGGGAATTGGAGGGGGGGAGCAGTGGGTACGGGTGGGATGGCTTCACAACCAAAGTCCCACTTAGAGAAATATAATAATAGATTGATATAAATTCTAGCTCATTGTTACCTTGCTAAAGAGTAATGTTATTTATTTATCTATCGATCCACGACTGCTTAATTGAGTCTCAAGATCCCTTTGCAGGAAGACCGTGCATTGGGATTCCAGTTTAAGGTGGTCTTATGCATGTGGGATGCAATAAGAGGTCCTGGAGAACCCATGATAATGAAATGAAGCTTAAAGGTTCACACAGACATGAAACCACTTGCTCTACAGCCATCTTCTGGTCACCTCAGCACAGATAGTTAAGAAATTGATGCGATCTACCAACCCTTTTCTCTAACGTTTTTGAATTGCTGGCATACACAACTATAATCAATATAACCATATTGATCGATATTTAATATAACCTTACTTGACTATGATCAAATCACCACGAATACAGCTGATCTTAGATTCCGGAAGTCAAGCCGGCTTGAGCCTTGTTCGTGCTTAGATTGATGATCACCATGCACAATGCAGGTGCAGTAGGCGACTGTGGAGCTAGGTTGTCAGCAGTGGGTAGTTCAGCAAAATTAACAGTTGTGCTATATTGCTCTCCCATTATCTGTACTCCCTGCCTTCACCAACCTGGCATGGACCAGCGTGAACCATTGTCAAAAGAGCCCCCACAAGCTGCACGTTGTGGGAAGGCCCTCTTTCAGAAGCGGATTTTTTAAAGGGCTGTGAACGCATATACCGTTTGTGCACAACCATACTTGTTCAATTTAGCGCCAACTCTACTTTCGAGGCACTTTGCTCAATATAGTCCATGCGTGCTTGTGGTTGTACGTGTGTAGGTATCCAGGTTATCGCTACCCGCCGGATCATCCCCAAGCCTACTCCGTCACCAAGCAGTACTGGCAAGTACTGACGGCAAAGCTGGCCTTCGTCATTGCCATGCAGGTACACATCAACATGCACACACACACATTCATAAACCCATTGAAAGATAAAGGTACAGCCCTCCAATTACTTGCTCATGTCACTGATGGCAAAAGGGCTCCTGCTATAGGGAGCTCAAGAGAGACCCTTAAGATGTATTTTTACTGCTCTTCCACACTGGTCAGACGTCTTGGGAAGATGTGGGAGTTCCCACACTGGACAGAACCAAACTCAGCCGACCAATTGACTGGATGTATTCCATTTACACTGCTAGGTGGATAGAGGCAGTGGAATGTAAAAAAACTTTCACCATTGTTTACACTCCCACGACCAAAGATCAATTCACACCCGTGACCTCTGGATTGCAAGTCTAGTGTGCAAAGCCTTACACTACTGCACCATCGTATAGACTCATCTGTGAGCAGTTGTTAAGGTCAGCAGAGCAAACCGTGATCATTGTCAATGGGTCATTACAGATAATGCCAGTAATGCTATTACACCTCACAATTGCACAGTATTTCTGAGATCACAAATAATAGTGGTAATACAATACTCACTTTCATCATGCAGCAGACGATTCATGTTGTTGATGCAATTTGTCACACGTAAGCATGTGTGCGTGTGGGTGGGAAGGGGAGCGGCTGCGTTGTTGTTTGTGAACTGCGCTACCAATCCTGTGTGACCGGAGTACTATTTCTGGCCACAGCCAACAACAGTGGAAAATATTAGAACCAGTGTTGAGCTTCCCTTAAGTTGATTCTGTCTTAAAATGAGTACTTGATGAAGTGTGTGAAAATCATCACTGGCGAGATAAAGGTGCACACCACCCCCACAGGCACTGTGCCACCCTTCATAGATGCACTTGTCTCAGTCTGTGAAAGGCTACACAGGGAATCTTTGTAGTGGTGACATGGCCGAGTGTGTTTGCTGATTGTTGCGGTAATTTGCGGCTGCCCAGGTGAATACGGTGGGTGCATTAACTGCACATCATAAATGTTGCCTGCTGCATAGTGAACGTAAAAAACCCATTAAGTAATTCAAAAAAAGTGCCTCGGTATAATTTGCCAAATGTTCAAAAATTACTCAAATGACTTAATTTAATTGGGAAAAACGACGTAACAATATAATATCCCTAGGCTGCAGGTCCCCGGAATAGTTGACCTGAGATGTAAAGCACTTTGAGATGCTGCCATATTATATTTAGTAAGCACCCTTTACATGCAAATCCTGAAACTGAAAATCCTTTACCTGTGTGTGGACGTGTGCAGCACGTGGTGTTACTCACGAAGGCCTGCATTGCATACATCATCCCGGACACGCCATCCCATGTGCGCGCCTGCATGCGCCGCGAGCGCTTCGTCGTACAGACGATTCTGCAGCAGGCAGAGCTGGGCCGTCTCCGTAACACCCTCCTCACCGATGCCCCCAGCTCACCGCCATCGCCTCAATTCCACGTTGAGGATGAGCAGGCAGAGATGGGCCTGCTTCGCTGCTCGCTGCATGCAGAGTCTCCTGGCGTATCGCACCCACCCCAGCGGTGCCACATGGAGAATGAGCAGGCAGAGAAGACTGGTGACGACTCACTGCTGAAGGGATCCGAGGAGGAAGCAAGCAGCGAGGATTCGTCAACTGTCTTCTACAGCGTATAAATCTACTCTGACTTTTAAAGGAGGCTGCTATCCTAACTCTGTTTGCACGTGGACAAGGACATTGCAGTCGAGGACTATCTGTATATATATTAATAAATAGTTTATGATTTAACATGTCTCAATCATCTCATGTCTTTTCATACGAATCACGATGTGAATGAGGAAACTAGAAATTATTGTTATTTTGTATATATTTTTAATTTTGGTTTAACACGTAGGCTTTCGGGCCCAATATCATCCATAGAGGTGTTTTTTTGGGTTAGATCGCGTACATATATAAACGTGTCGTTAAAACCCGCCACCACTCGACACAGCCAACTTGTAAGGGTTGTCACGGAAACAGAACAAGCCAATTCGTCACTGATACTTTGGAGAGCCAAGCCACAACATTTACAATCGGAGTACGACGTTTTGCCAGTAATTACAACTAGCTTCATCAGGCGACAGCCAGATTTGCGGCGCTCTCGCGCAAAGTGGGCGGGGGGGGGGAGATTACCGAGTCAACGTACATTATGCATGTGCATTATGAGAGCCCTTTGATCTTGTCCTTTCTGCCTATTGTGTATTAAAATAGCCGTACCAACGGTAATCCCTATTGAAGTATGCTGCCCTTTATAGGCATGCATTTAAATGATGTATTATTTGTTGGCACCCGTGTTCCGCAGTAGCAGAACACACGTGCCAACAAGGACACTCAGTTGATTTTAATGTTGAAGTTCTGTGCTAAACTAGCTACTACTGGCCAAGAATAATTCGAGAATCTATCGAAATTGAAAGAAAAATGTACAGTTCGGATAGCTACCGCCTTTGTGCTGTGTGGAAGCGACCCATCAAATAGTACATTAGATGAAACTCCGAGTACCCACTCAGGAGGTATAGTGGTAAAGCAGTGGAGGAAAAAAAAAGCATTTTTTTTTTATTTGCCCTTGTTGAATGATAGAGTCGATACACACAGCAAGCGAGATTAAGAAAGCGCATCGGAAGAAATAACGGAGGTGAGAGAGAGAAGACAATTGCCTGCTGGCAGAAGGAAAGGCATTCCTACCGAGGGAGACAAGTTGACAAAGATTTTGATAATGGGAACCGGTGGCGTGGCTCGATCTTCCCTATGTGCGCAACATGCTACCGAAAGAAAACAAAATCCTATTCAAAGGCTAAAATAAGCTCAATTTTTTGTATAAGAGCCCGATAATCAATAACCCCATCCATAGACTGAGGAAGAAAGAGAAGAGCCTGAATAAAGGGGAGGAGATTACGATGGAGATGGGTTGGAGGTGGAGAGAAGGGGAGAGGGGAGGCCGTAAAGGCGGCTGCACATTCAAGGAAAGTGGCGAAGAAAGAGTTGAACGGGGACATGGAGACAGCAGAGACAAGGGTGGAGAAAGAGGAAGAGAGGATCTTTCAGTGCTCCCTACAGGAAACCCACAAAACTGAATTTCCTAAACTCGTGTCGCCTCCGTGACAGCAGCACCACCAACGCCACAGACTCACGCTCCCCTAATCGATAATACCATCTCCATTGCCGACCAGCCACGAGATGGCTGCTCTCAACACCTCGGTCGTGGTGTATGCAGCAAAAGACTTCCGGCTGGTGAGCAACCGGCCATTGCGAGGGTTGGAAATAAACTGAAGCACGGGGCGACTCCCACAACCTTCGGGTATTTCCCAACTGGATGACGTCTTGGGATGAAGCCAGAAGTAAGCCAAATCCGCACTCAATAAATGGGACAAAGATCCCAGAGAAGCCTCCAGAAATGTCACAGGAGGCTCGGGTGTGAGAAACCAGACTCCATGTGGGGTCCTCCAGACCTTTGCCCTCCAGTTCATCAACATTTGTAAAGCAGGACGTCTCAAAGGTACGTAGCATGGGTGAGGTACGATGTTGAGAACCACGTTCAGAGATTAGGCGCTTTGACAGGTTGGGGTCCGAGTAAACTTTTAATGGAGCTCACCCTACGACATTACGGATAGAAGGATAGTGTGCCGGCACAATCCGGACACCCTGCTACACCGAAACACTCTGCTGCATCAAACTCCCTGGTACAGCTAAACACTGGCACGATTACGCTCAAATACACACAAACTCTCGCTCGGCCAGTTGGTACACAGGTTGTCAGTTGTGGGGGACGCGGGCCCCCGGCTCCCCCCCCCCCGGGGGAGGGCTGATCTCGAGAGGGCTGCGGGCTCCGGACTCCTCGCTCGAGTGAGAGCAGCCGCTACTCGACTCCTCGCTCGCGGTGAGAGGGCTGCCGCTCTCCGGCTCCTCTCCTCACGCCGCAGCCCCTCGGGTCCGCGGGTCCTGTTTGTGGGGCATAGCTCGGGGCTGGCACGTGGCTGCCTGGAATCAATCCGTCGCTTCTCAGCCACTCAAACGCGACGTCTCCGCTCACACAACCCCACGCACCACTCACACGAACTGAACGGGGGGTCAGGGGTCAGAGGGAATGACGTCCTTCGCACACGCGTTGCCGCCGAGGGCGGGCAATGGAGATTGTTTAAAGGGCTGCGGGGCGGGGATTTGGAGTCGGTTTTAGAGCGACACACCAATCGCACGCGCAGGACGGGGGGGTC